ACTTACCTTGCCACCTTAATCCCAAGAAACTATCTCAATGGCCACAAATCTTTGGTTTCAAATTTTGTTGCTAAAAGCTTCTTCAATCTTCTTATCTCTTCAGAATCATCCCCACTCACAACCATATCATCCACATAGACTATAAGAATTGTGGGGTTATCACCCTACCTTCTTATAATCTGGGTATGATCGCACTACTTTTGAGTATACCCCACAATCTTTATGGCTTTACAAAGTCGTTCAAACCAAGCACCAGGAGATTGCTTTAATCCGTACAGAACTTTCTTTAGCTTGCACACAACACACCTTTCTTAAGAAGTCATAGCCAAGAAGAGGGTCCATGAATAGTTCATACAAGTCTCCTTTCAGAAAAGCATTTTTTTGCATCTAATTGATGTAATTCCCAAGAATAATTTCCAGCTAGGGTAATGCAAGAGAACAGGTTTAGCAGATCTGTTTTAGTGATTTTTGCAGCAAAAATCACCCAAACTGTTTGAGAAATTCTAGAGAATGAAGAAAATAGAGTGAAGAAAGAAAGAAACAGATTTCTTAAGCTTGAAGTAATTGAATATCCTTCTTTTTCTCCTTGGACAGCAGCTAATAATGTTCTTATATAGGGGTTCTATTTAGGTCGGCAGCCAATAAAACCCTGAAATTACAGAAATACCCCTATCCCAAAATAGTAAGGAAAACCCAAAAATAACCTTATCTAATAGCTATATACCCTGTAAGACTCTTCCTAACAATAGTAATCCACTAGAAATCATTAATTGATTGAGAAACAACCTAGGAAATCATCAAATCAAAATCAAAACAAGAAAACATCTAAATTCAAGCACAAGAATTCTTCACTTTCTCATTCCTTCTAGATTTGTCTTGTGCTTCTTCACAATTAAGTGCTGCAGCCTTTACATCATAGGGACAAAAGCACATGTATTGTGTTCAACTTTGCTACCATGGCAAATGTTTCCTTGTAGCCAATCCCTTCATTTTGTGTAAGCCCTTTTGCTACCAGTCTTGCTTTGTATCTTTTTCAACTAATTAATCTGCCTTATGCTTCACAATAAACAACCATTTACATCTTATGGTCCTCTTCCCTTCTGGTAGATCCACTAGTTCCTAAGTTTTTGACTCTTAACAAATCCTTCATCTTTTCATTCATTGCACGTCTCTATTTTGGGTCAGTTACAATTTTAGAATACTTGATAGGAACTTTCACGGAGGAAAGAGCAGAAACAAGGGAATAATAGCTAAGTGATAAAGCTGAATAGGAAACATAATTAGAAATGGGATGATAAGTAATGCAAGAGCAGATAGGTTTATGGAGAGCAATAGACAAATCCAAATCTGAAACAGAATGTAGAACATTAGGTTCATCAAAAGTAGGATTACTGGATTAGACTAGTTGAAGTCTAGTTTATTGTTGTCATAGGTTGGATTATTGGGAGAGTCCTTTTTTCCTTTCTCCAAAACATCATTCTCTCTCTTTTCTTTTCAAGATTGGCATTGCCATCATTACCTGTGTTGGGATCATTAGTGGAAGTCATGGGAGTCTCATTAGAAGTACCTGGACAAGTGCTAGAGCTAGGTGGATTAGGAGAAGAAGATGGAAGATCAAGAGAAGGAAAAGGCACAAAAGAAGAAGATTTCTCTTCCACCCGACTAGTCTCCCCTTGAAGAGGATTTTGGGACAGTATAAAAAATGATTGAGACTTGAGGAAAACAACATTTTTGGTAACAATTTTTTTCTTGGAGATAGGATCTAACACTTATAGCCCTTTTAAGTAGGTGAATACCCAAGGAAGACACCACAGAGAGCTCTAGGATCCAACTTTGTTCTTTTAGGATCCTTGACATGAATGAAGCAAACATGACCAAAGACTTTAGGTGGTGATGGAAAATCATGTTGATTAGAACACAGTATGGAGAATGGAGTTATCATTCCAAAAGCCCGAGATAGCATCCTATTTAYCAGATCTGAGGCAGTGAGAACAACTTTTGATCAATAACTTTTGGACACCTTACGCTGAAAATCAATGTTTTAAGACTTGGACTGGACACAAAATAGGAAAATCTTCTTGGTTACGGGCCAAAAGGTTTGATTGCAAGTTACAAAAAGAAAGCATCAAATAGATTTTTTAATTTATAACATGTGTTAATGGCGGCTAGATGGTTAAGGTTCTGCTATTTAGCATAAATGACTAGGGTTCAAGTCTCGTTAATTGTGTTTTATTAAAAATACATACATATTTAATCAATATATATTAAAGATACATAAATGAGCACGAAATTAATGATTGCTTGATGGTTTGATGTTAACACATGCAAATAGCAGATCAGTCTTATGAAAGAATGTTCTTCAATGCTCTAGTACCATGTTTACAAACCTGCAAGGGTTTGGAGGGTAGGGCTGTTCATAACAAGACCCAAACCGACCAACCTGGTCCGATCCAACCCGAGTTGGCCGGTTTTTCTTCAGCACCGGCCGGTTTTGGGTTACAAAAAAACATAAACCAATGGTTTGGTTCAGTTCGGTTTCGGTTTTTATGTGTGAAAACCGAAACCGAACTGACCCGAACTGACTTAGATATATATTATATATAATATATTTCAGATAATATTTGTGGAAATATATATATATATATATATTCAGCTTTATTTCAGAAATATACATATTATATATAAAATTTCTGATATATAAAATTTCAGCTTTAATCCATCAAATCATTTTTAATTTCCAGGCATCCAGCCTTCACTTCTTAGACTTGAATCCTTTACCGTTCACACTGAGAGAATCATTCACAAAACTGACCCAAACCGACTCAAACCGACCAGGTTGGTTTTACTTAGTACTGGGTCGGTTTCGGTTTCATTTCTAGGTAAACCGACCAGGTCGGGTCGGTTGGAAAAACGCCAGTAAACCGACCCAACCCGACCCATGAACAGCCCTTTTAGAGGGAAAGATGAAGAGAAGAATTGAAAAGAATGGGGCAGAAGAATAGTTGCTTCTGGTTGGTCTTAAATCTTTTATTAAGATTTGAATCTAAAGCACATAAAAGTACAAAAATTCCCCTAATTAGTAACAGCAGTTGTCTATTGACTTAAAATACTATTAGGCCCAATAAACAAGGCCTACTAACTGACTAACAGCAATAGACAAAAGAAAATAAAAAAAGGCCTGATAGTGRCCCACGCAAGTGAATCATTCATTACAACACACCAGATTTCTAAAACCAAGGGGCCTTGTTAGCGGTTAGCCTTATTCCACTCAAGTTATTTTCCATTCTTTGGTGGGTTTTATTACCAATTAAAATTTGTATCCAGAAGTTATTATAATTTCTTAAAATTGGTGCAGAATCCCCAAATCAGAATTTATGATCTTGGTATGGTTATTTGAGGTCAAAGTTAGTTGACACCTTTGTGTAACATGATTTCTGCATACTGATGATTTGGAGATTTTTAATTACTTCACTATGTTGTTCTATACTTTGTCCAAACAAAGTACAATGCCAAATTGCCAATATAACCACTCTTCCAGAACAATTCCATGAGTAGGAAAAGGATTCCAAGCATGTAACTGCACCCACTTTTCTTTAAATGTTGCTTTTTTTTTATAATTATGTTTGAATGTTGCTATTAGAGGACAAGGAATAGATTTAAGAGCTTTGGCAGTAACTGTTGATGGATGGTTACTGAGCCCATATTACTATTTTGAAGACTGAACCTAACCTGACAGTTGAACTCTCAAGACTGTGAACCAATACCCAGAAGGGCTTCATTTTTACTTGGGTGATAATTTCTAGCCCAGCCCAGAAATTTCTGGGCCTGCATCAGGCCTGGAAAATTTGCGGGCTGCACCTGAGCCCAATACTAGACCTGGCCCAGCCCAGAATATTTATAAAATATTATATATGGTTAACATAATATATTTAAAGTTGTAGGCAGAGGGTGTGGACCTAGGCCTAGGCTACCTTACCATAGGTACTAAGCCCAACCCGGGCGTAGGCAATGATCACCCCATTTTACTTGGTCCAGAACTGTTGATTTGTTCAAGAACCATTCAAACTGTTATGGTTCTTTCCTATATCTAATGTAGTATTAGCTGGATTTAATACAGATGATATTTTGTTAAATAATGATGTTTGTTTTTTATTTTATGTCTTATCTGGGTACACATATGTTAGTGGTGTTGTTTGGAAATGAAGTCTGTAGACAACCCAGAAATCCTGTGTACAAGTGGAGCATCCAAAGGGTTTCACTTGTTCCACCCCTCATTCTGTCTATGGGACAACTTCCAGCCAAAAATCTCCTGCACAAATTCAAGCTATGCCTTTCCTTGGACATGTTTTGAGTCAACAAAATTAAAACATTCAATATTTAATATCTCTAAAGGAAAGCCCCAATAAATCTTTAGGTATAGGATTGATGATGACTGGGGAACCAATCACGTCCACTGGGTGTTTCTTATGATGGACCGGCCACATCATTCCTCTACATGTCTGGAATATGGAAGTTCATCTGGAAAAGAAGCCTATTTATCTAATTAAACTTTCTCCTTTTTATTTCTGCATTTTATTCAAACTAGTTGAATGGCACGTGGAAGAGAAATGAAGAAATAGTATAGTGTATGAGGAGAGAAGAAAGTATATGAATTAGATTTTTCACATGGTGATCTGGATGTGAAGCCAAGTATCCCCATTTTATAGTAAAGATGTTTTTCCTTATTTTCTTTTGTATTTCATTAATGAGCTTATGATGTAATCTGAAGTCACTGGCCATATCATTAAACTAGATTGTTTAACTGCTAAACCTGAATCACCGGTTCCCAGCAGTTCAATGTCAGGAATCAGGACAGGTTTTCCAGACATTGGTACATGGGAAACTTTAATGACATTTTTGTCTGATTCTGGATATTAACTATCATGCCGACTATTCCAATCCGTACTTCCTACATGATAAAAGGATCTTATGCATATTGGCTTTTATTTATCATTACTCAGGTAAAGGCCATAAATGGATCAAAGTAGATGAGAAGAAAACACTGCACAGTGTTCTGAGGCAACCAGATGTTGTTATCCCTGGAATCCCTGGTGTGTGTTCCTCTTGCTAAACTACCTACTTGCCACTATGTTACTCATCAGAGACTATATATGCTGCCATTAGGGGCAATTTGTTTATTCTCTTGCATTTCTCTATTATGTCAACAGTATTTTATGTAGTCTCAAAAGGCTCAAACTTCTACAAGGAATTCAGATCTGGGAAGTGGGCTCCTCCATCATGAGACTACAGAAACAGCAGAGAGAGCATGGTTTGAAAAGATGAGCTTATATCTCACGCCTGGCCACCATGACCATATTTTCACGGGTATCAAGATTTAGCAATGACGTGAACCATGTTTACTAAATTAATGCGCCTTTGGTTGGAGAGATGATAAACTTACTTTGATTAATACAGCGGCATCTAAATGGTAGTTGATAAATCTATTGTCCAACTATTAGTATTACCTTGGCCAGTTGGCCTACCAAAAGGAGGAAAATGGAAAAGCTGCTACTGCGTTGAGAACTTGTATATGACTTTTTAACTTTGTTTTTTTTTTGATCAGTGCATTATTCTGTAATAAATGCTTATATATCTATAGCAATAGATAATTGACAAATTGACAGAATATGGGTTCAGATCAACTATTGTGAGGCGATTTGTGTATTAATCGTAATGAAGAATCACCAAGTTCATGTAGGAGCCGTCTGTATGAAGGCCAATGATGACGAATGCTGTCACTTTCAGTGCAGACTGAGCTTTCTTGTTTCGTAAGTGTTCCATATTTTTTAGCTCCTGGATCAATTGTTGATGAATGTTTCTTGTTGTTATAGTTCAGGGCTCTCCTATGACTTTCCAAGCAAACATCACCGATTTGACAACAAAAGGAAGCAACCGCAACTCGCCCAAGAGGCCGAGCTGGGAATAGTTGAGCAGCATTTATTTACTTTGAATTGCATAGATTAATAGCTTGGTTCTGCTTCTGACATCGTCRTTTGCTGCCCCCATATGCAACTCTGAATCTGAACATATTTGGTTTACTTCTGGGATCTTTGAATTCTCAAGGAGACATGCCCAGAGATACATCTACGGTGGATTACGTAATGCTTTGTTTTTTTTTTTTATATTGGTCAGAGTGAGACATGTTTTGCTCAGGATGATAGCGTCTTTGACTTTGGGAATTGATCTCATTTTCAAATTTCAATTATACCTTCAAAGCCGAAAATGCAGTATCTTTTCAGATGGGATGGGAGATGATTTGGGGTTGGATTATTAGATTCAAAGGGTTGCAGTTTGATACTTTGATTCAATCGGAGCTTGGGTTTGACTTTGGATTGGCATCCGTACCTAGTTCCCAGACTCCCAGTTCCCACCCAGCTCTCTATTGGACAGCTGATGATACCATGATTGTAGTTTTCATTACATACGTACGGAACCTCTCTGGAAACCCTATCAATAAGCCCAGATTCAATCAGGTCCAGAGCTCCATTCTTTTTTCCAATTCAAACTCTGCTGATACATCCACGCTATTGCTTCCTAATTGGCCTCCCAGCCCCAATAGCAACCTCATCCCCCATTTCTTTTATACTGGTTGAGTAAATTCATGGCTGTAGAGCTTCAGGGCGTCATCAATTCTGTTAATTTCCAAATTTTTAATTGGATTCCACCATGTCATCTTTGCAAGGTCTGAACTCTGAAGACCCTTGAGTATATTCCATCACTGCTTTCATCATTTTAAATGGAGCAAAGCTTGTACTTGCGTTGCACTTACGTCAAGCCACGTTAGTGGGACCCACCATTTTTCCTCTGCACCGTCAAAATATTCAAATTTTAATATATATACCATAGGGTTCCAAATTCCAATTTCCAAGCCCCTCTCCAGCTAGTGGTTGGTGGACAGAATCTCATTTTCTTATTTTCTTTGTTCGAGTGCAACATGTCTGTAAGAATCTTTCCGTGGGTTGTGCTTTTAAAACATCTTATTTTAATCACTGCGTGCTGGATACAAGTTGGAGATTCTCAATTCAGACTTGAATACTCTGCAGTCAACACATATCCACACACCTCACGCACGCACACAGAGGATGGAGTCCAGAGGGCTGCCGAGGTTTGGGACTTGTCCTAAGTTTGAAAATGTTGCCTTGAGACTCTCAGAAATTGTTTGCTTGGAATTATTCAATTCAGTGATATATTGAGCTTCCCTCTTGGCCTTGGGTTACCCATAAACAATAACTACTGCATTTCTGTCTTTGTATTGCTTCTTGGTCCCCATGCACCCARACCCAGTGGGTATCATATTAAATAGGGGTTTCAACGGTTCAGATTTGAGCCCGGTCCATGTGAACCCAATAGGTATCATTTTAAGTATCAAGGCTCATGTACTTGTTTATCCATCAGCTACGCTTTAGCAGATTCAGACCAAAACCTTCTCGATTGGGTTTTTACTATGGACCTGAATAGTGTGCTTCATTATTACTGGGTCCAATATTTTGGACCCCTGCCCTACCAATCAAGCTGAGAATCCTTGGTTGTCCATTACCACTTCTTATTGATCCCTTGAATCCAAGGTTTTGTCATAAGAAGGGCACCCCTAAGACATGTGAGACTCGAACCGGACCTGCTGCTGAACCAGTGAAGCAGTGACCTGCTGAGCTTTCTGGGTTCCGGTTATTTGACGGTTCTTATGGGTCTGAAGGATCAAACCGGCAGTTAAACTGGTAACTGAACTTTCTATCCAACATACACACCTTGGGTTAGTAAGAGAGTCTGGTTAAGTCATGCTTTTCAATTAAATGGTAAAGATATAATATACAATTACAAAGTAAAACAGATTAATTTTCTATCAAACAAAAAAAGTAAAACAGACTAATTGATGCTGATATGGCTTGCGTATGTAGCAAAGTGTGAAGGGACGAGTCACAATGGTGGCGATTTTTGCACTAATACATCATGTGATAGGATACTCTGAAATTAAATACTGAAAGTTATAGCTTATTTTAATGTTGTAACAAGCTTTTATTCTTCCATTCAAGTTCTTTAGACAGAACCTAATTAAAACCTACTAACCCAACGGTTCCTAAAATTTTCACAAAATGCGGAAAATGGGAGACGTATAGAAAATATTCCAGGGAAAAAATTACAAGAATGCTGATATCATCTCTATCATGGCATGGGATTGGAAAGTTCTTCTCAACGCTTAATAACGACTTCCTGAGAGAGAGAGAGAGCTTTAAGCAGGTGAATATTAAAATGGGTACTGTAGTTGGTTGACCCAAACCTCGGTTCCCCCTATCAACCCATATTGGGAGAAGATAAACATTATTGGGTTAAAATTTAGAAATGTGAAGTGCTCCAAATTAAGGGTGTCAATTGGACTGGACTTGGTCCGATCCGATCCAATGCAATGCGAGTCCATTACAAATCGACCTGGTCCAATCCATTCCAATGAATATTTTGGACCATTTTGGACCGGTCCAATTCAATGTATGGACCGTCCAATCCGTTCAAATTCATGTTAATTTAGATAGGTTTCAACTTAAACCTGATCCATTGACATCTGTATTATTATCTTCTATTAATGGATCAGATATTGGTTCAACCCAATATAAATTCATTATGGACGGACCAAGTCCAATCCAATATGTCTTATTGGTCCGTCCAATCCATCCAAATTGATTTTATTTTGGCCAGAGTCCAACCCAAATCTGATCCATYAACACCCCTACTCCAAATCAGAATTACTACTTACTACAAGCCATTGTTTCGAAAATCAGTAACAAAAGACATGGTAAATTTTCTTACCATTTTTTTTTTAACTCCATTTGTTTCCATGTAAAAATGAAATGGATGGAAAATTTCTCATGCTAAAGCATTAAAAATATATTTTTGCCTCTTTTACGATGAAAACTTTTGTTATCTTCTTAAGGCGTAGTGTTTCTTTTCTTACAAGTTAGGGTTGATTCAGCAGTAAGACTGTTAGCTTTTCTTAACCAAGTTTTTTTTACTTGATTTAATTTGMAAGGAAGGCCTGCCTACACTGTAAAAAGAATTCCTTTCTTGTGCTTAGTATAGTGAACAGTTCAGCCTTGGACCCATGTAGCAGTAGTACATCTACATCAAATCTAGGTTTTGGTTTCTGTATTTCAAATTTACAAACAATTCGCTCATTAGCTGTCCTCTGTATTTGTTTACGCTATACGTACTGATGTTAGTTGATACCAATACAAGAATTTATTAAAAAAATAGTTAAATACAGGTTACTTGTAATTAAACCTAAAGGATGGCAAACCTATGATTCACCCCTATTTTATGCTTTGAAATTTCTTATATGTTCATTACTTGCTGTAATGATAAAATTTCGGGCTGACAAGTATGAGAGTGTACGTTCAAATCCGAGAGTGGATGGCCCGTGGTAAAAAACTGTTGTCTGGGTCATCGGTTCAATGGTTCTAGTGCCTGGGTAAGCAGTTTGCAAGTCAAATCAATGGTTTTTTTGCYAAAAGACAGTTTTGGAGTGAAACAGAATCGATCAGCTGACTGGTTTCCAATTTTTCTGGTTCAACCATCCSATCTGATCTAGTTAAAACCGTATCCAGTCTAGCCCTCCCAGACCCCAAATCTAGGGGCAAATAAAACAGGCAGATTAGATTAAAAATATTTTATCTTAACTTTTTTTGGTAAAGAGATATTTTATCTTAAAATTGGCCATTAAATGATAGTGAAATTTTGTATTAAATAAGCATTTATTTTGAAGTTCAGGAAAAAAAAAAGAAAAAGAAAAAGAAAAAGAAAAAGAAAAAACTTGCTTGGTTGAGGGTTGATTCTTTTAACAATGGACGTCATCCTTCTGACTTTCCTGAAGGCTACCATCACTGAGATTTTTTTTGGACTGAAAAAAAAAAAAAAAAAAAAAAACAAAAGTATGGATATATGCAAGTCAGAATTGCTGCAAATTGATTGAGAAGCCATGTTGTTAGCAGTTGAAATCCAATTTAATGAAGCCCAAATTTGAATTCTATACTAGGAAACTGAAATCTGAAAGTGTCTCTACTACTCTTTATATTCCTTAATTTGGATTCTACAGAAGAATCGAACATCAAATTTTGCCTGAAATCAACCCCCCCCMAAAAAAAAGTTTTAAACCATGATTTTAAAAACCGGACTGGAAATAAAATCATTTTGGCCATTGATTTTTAGGTGAAATGGACCGATCGTCCGGTCCAAACCTGGGTCAGATGTTTGGGGTCCAAATCCAGACCCGGATTTATGATTGGTTCCTGCATAATTTTCAAAACCTGACCGGACCGGACGGTGAGACCAGAAAAACCGGGAATCGGTCATCTGACCGGTTCGGTTTTCCCCCAAAACCGTTGGTTTTGGTCAACAAACTGCTGAACCGGTCGGTTAACTGTTCAGACGGTTTTGGCCGTTTTTCAATTTTTTTAAAATTTTATTTTTTTGTCAGAATGGGCCGACTGTTCGAGTCGAACAATCAGACCGTTCAAACCAATAACCGAACCCCTGACCGGTTCGGTTTTGAAAACCATGGGTTCCCGGGTCAATTACTCTGACCGTCAAGTCTGATCCAGTTTTCAAAACCATGGATTAAACCCTTTCATCCTACATCACCGGTCGATCATGCTGCGGTGGATCAATTCGAGAAAAAACATACATTTGAAACATTTGTACTCATCCATGGATAG